TTCAGATAAATACGATATCACCTAATAATTATATTTTTAAATTGGAAATAGAATCAAATATTATCTTTTAATTGAATTTATTTACAAACGGTAGGTGACAGTAGTTTAATGAAAAATAGAGATATATAATTGTAATAAATATATTTTTAAATCCAGTGTATATTGAAAACGGTAAGTGCAAAGTATACTAAACTATATATTTTTGAAATTAGCTAAAATATGTCTACCGGACCATGCGAAAATATGTGGGGGTTTCCATTTAAAAAAAATCAAGATGGCGTCGTATCTGTCAATATTGACGTTGTAAAAAAAATTAATGTATAAAATCGGCATCCTCGCGAAAAATTACATTAAAGTATCTTTTTACTATCTTAAAATAGAAAAGAGGAAAATTTTAAATTGGGTGAGACACTTAAAATGATTCTGGAACAATTCATTTTTAAATCCACTGTATATCCAAAACGATAAATGCAAAGTACACTAAACTATATATTTTTGAAATTAGCTAAAATATGTCTACCGGACCATGCTAAAATATGTGGGGGTTTCCATTTAAAAAAATCAAGATGGCGCCGTATTTGTCAAAATTGACGTTGTAAAAAATTTTAATGTAGAAAATCGGCATCCTCGCGAAAAATTACATTAAAATATCTTTTTACTATCTTAAAATAGAAAAGAGGAAAATTTTAAATTGGGTGAGACACTTAAAATGATTCTGGAACAATTCATTTTTAAATCCACTGTATATTGAAAACGGTAAGTGCAAAGTATACTAAACTATATATTTTTGAAATTAGCTAAAATATGTCTAAAAATATAGATATATAATTGTAATAAATATATGGTCAATAATTCTACAATAATACATTTATACCTAAAATTTCTCCAATCAAGTAGTTTATATATTTTTTCAATATTCAACACGCTTAGATCGATATAAAAATAATTTACTACAATCACTATTGAATTGTACTAATTCAGCACAGTTAAATCATACTTATGAGTTGAAGAAACAACCACATATTGTTTTACTGAAAATAAAAATCGCATTATAAACTACTGACAAAAATAGAAATTTGATGTTAAAAAACAGTATGTAGTATTAAATCTATTATATAGGTAGTAGGTATGATCTAAAAAAAACGGCGTCAGCGATGGCTATGAAATGAAGATCACTGTCACTTTAAATATAAATTTATATGCGAAATGTCATCGATCGTCATTTCCCATCCAATTGGACGGCGTTTTTTTTTTCGATCATATGGTATATTAAAATTTGATAGAAATTAGAGTAATGAAATGGAAAGAAGAAAGGCCCGCTATTGATGTATTTACCACACGTTTCAATAATAATAGCGTATGATCGAAAAAAAAAAACGGCGTCCGGTTGGCTTAGTAATGAATATTGATGACATTCCCTATATAATTTTGCATATAAAATGACAGCGGTCTTCATTTCATAACCATCGCTGACTCCGTATTTTTTCGATGATATTGTAGCTCTTGGCTGTATCTCGAGAATTACTAAGCGTAGAGGCTGCGAAAAATAAAAACAATATAATCAAAAAAAATGGCGTCAATGATGCCTATGCAGTGAATTATATGTAAAGTTATAAGAGAAATGCCATCCTCCTTGGTCTTCTTGCATTCTTCTTGGGTCCTTTCCAAGCCAACTTGATGCCTTTTTTATCACACGATATTTATAACTAAAGAGGTGATGAGAAATTGCTGGAAATTATTTCCAAGTTTGTAGAACGGCTGCTAGAGGGCGCAACTGCTATGGCAAATATGAAAATTGACACTTTTACGAAATTTTCTCTAGATAAGATTTTTTGATGTATATGGATTTCTGATATATTATCGATATTAGAATTAATTCATTGTTTCTATTTTTGATTTATTTGAATGGTGATATTTAAGAGGGCTATACTGATGACGTGTTTTAAAAAATAAGGTTAAGGTCTTATTTTTTCGCATTTATTTTATTTTTGATAATATTTTTGGTTAGAAAAAGGATAATAAGATGAGGTTTTCCCTGGCTTTTTAAGCTTTTTTTCTCCTTACTATCAGCTAAAATTATCACATAGTATTGCATTTATTTTTGAAAAAACGCGCAATGTTTGTCAAATTGTAAGACAGCGCCTCCTGGCGTCAATTCGTCAGTCGCATATTATTACTGTTTATAGAGCACAATATATAGTATGGAGCGCGCTTTGAAACGAGCTCTAGTTTGTTGGATTCCGATTACCCAGTCTGTATTATTAGCATTTATATAAAAACAGATTAACCTTCCCGCACCTTTTCATCTTAGCAGATAGGGCAAAATTGTTCAAACAAAAAAAAATCTTAAATTTGCAGAAGATTATGACGCCATTTTATATACTACCCCTTACATAAACAAAATTTTGTTACAATCTATTTTATTATTCCACCTAGCAGTTGCGCTCTCTAGCGGCCGTTCAACAAACTCGAAAATAATTTCCAGCAATTTTTCATAGCCTCTTTAGTTTTAAATATTTTTTTTATTAAATATGTATACGAGAGTCCAGTGTTAAAGCTTCATTCAGAACCTCGCAATTAGTGGAATAAATTAGTGGTTTCAATTACACTTTAAACTTTTTAGTTTACGATCATTCACAATGTCTAAAAAACACAATTAAAATTCATAGAATATCCTAGCAACCGCTTGCAGTAATCAGTTGTATCATAGGGAAAAAAAACAATAAATTTTTGGTTTCTAACCACATTTTCTCTTGACGGATGATAATCAAACGCCAAAATGGCATTTCTCGCAAATTTTGAAGTACAATTAGTAGAAAAGTCAAAAGTTTGTTAACTTTTTCCACTAATTAAAATTCCTACCACTAATTTTGACGTTCGAATGCACAATTCAAAAAATTCAAATTAGAGCAGCAAACTTCTACGCTAATTGAAACCATTAATTTATTCTGCTAATTTGGAGGTTCTGAATGAAGCTTTAAAGTAAAATGTTTTTGTGTATTGTGGTGAATTATTGTTTGATTTTCTCTTGAAAAAAGGTTCCAATGCCTAACTATAATATTAGAATCCTACATAATCCAAGATTTGGTGGATACAATAATTTTGTTCTCCTAAGCCCGATTGACAACAACCGTATTAGAGTAATTAAATAGAAAGGACTTGAACTCGAATAAAAAATATAACAAAAATCTTACCTCTCACAGCGCTCGGCAATGCTGGCGTATATCGCATTTTAAATTAGAATTTAATTAAGTTAATGTCATACCACATTGTTGGAGGCTACGAATTTGCACTTGTAATTTATGGAGAGACATGGAATATGTTCCAAATTGAGACGCAGATTTTGAGTTTGTTAGTATTTTAATTCATTGTCTTACGGATTTGTATATTCAGTTGCAGAAAAGAATGGCTAAAATAAGGTTAATTAAATTAAAAGTATGCAATGTATAAGTAATGCGAGCATCACAAGAGCAGTTCTGTAAATAATTTTGAAATATAATAATGCTTAAACTTTACTTTAGTAGATATTATTTGGCATAATACATAATCGGATGGAATAAGGTGGAGGGTTTTACAAGTATCATAATTCTTATTTCCAAGAAATAAAAACATAAATAATAAACACACGCTTTTTTGAGCCACACTGTACAAGTTAAAATATTTTCGTGAAAATCCTTTCATGAAAATCCTAGTATATACTTTAGTTTGGCACTTATACAAAATTCCTAAGTTTTTTATTAAATGAGCTAGAGATGCCCGACGCACTGTTGCCGGGCTCTAAGGAAAAACTTTGAAACGTGGCAACCCCGAGGTGTGGCAAGTTTTTGACAGGCACCCTGTGGGAAGTGTATTCTCCTATTCATAAATATACGTAAAAATTAGGTTTTGATTAAAAATACGATGAGCGTAATAATCATGCAGCCGGGTCATAGACTAAAATGAATTATTCTTCTAACAAGTTTAATTATATTTTTTATTTTAAAATAACAGCATATCAGAAATTAAGATAATATATTAAAATCACCTAGTCGAAAGTGACAGGTTTTTATAAGTTAATTAAACCTATGTTCCAGAAATGCAATATTTTCGATTACTAAAATATCAAAATATATTAATGGGTTAATTCAAATTAAAAATCATTCATAATTCGATTTTGAAAATAATCGCCATGATCCGATTATCGAGAAATAATTAAAATTTTTTAATGAATGATAAAAAAATATAATCGCATCGTTTGCGATGACTCACCAATACGAGTAGTCGATGTTTCAGCGGGATTGTTCGATAATCGCTTTCTTTATAGTTATCGAGAACCTAATAGAGACTGAGAGAGAGACAAACAACCAGATTCGCTATCAATAATTTGAGTGTTTGTTAAGCTGTTTTAATTTAATTTAACTGCAGAGGTTATGACAACAGAAGCTTCTACGGCCCACTAGTCAACTCGCATACCCAACAATTATGCCGTTTGCTGTCACCTTATTTTATGAACGGTTTTAAGATTGGCGGAAAGTGACGCCTAGTTATGGCCAACTTTGCAAGAGCAGCTGTGGATCCATTGGTAAGGCCGTCGCTTCGGGAACGAGAGGTCCCAGGATCGTGTCCCAACCCAAACCAAAACTTTTTTATTTACAGTTGTCGGTAATAGCAATCAAAATACGCCGTAAAATTTTGTTTAGATTGCACGCGAAATACCCGACCGATTATTATCGTTTATGCGCATGTAGAACTACGAAATTAAGGGACAACAAACGGCAACGTTGGGTATGTGAGTTGACCAAGTAATGAAACTTAGAAGCTAGTCGAATTTCGATTAATGAGAACTGAGTGATTGAACTTTGAGAATTTATTATAATATGACTGATTTATAATTCGAATTATAATCCGATTATTATTCATAACATAACCTGATAACCTGATAATTCGATTATTGAAATAATACCATTTTTCCCATCACTAAAAAAATATTCATAAATTATGATATATTTTTTTGGTTTCAGTAACTGTCGCTCCTTAATAAACAAATAATGTAGAACCTCGAAAACTACAACGGTAATCCCGGACTCTTCCTAATATCTCGAAGATGCTTCATAGAAGTACGTCTTCAAGGAGAAGACGGGCCTCTAGGTCTGCAGCTTCATCACCTGCTCAGAACAGGAGTTCTGGTAGTAGATCTGCTGCCACTAGTCCAGGTACGTAATACCATACTATCCAAAAGAATAGAGTCAAAGACGGCTGGTGAATGACATTCAATGATAATTTTGAACCTGAACTTTTTAATGATGATTACTGCAATTGCTGCAATTAAAAATATTCTTTTTGAAATAGATTTGCTTGTCTGGAAACGCTCTGTCCTTTTTTAGCTTTCTATAATTTTTTTCGTTAATATTTGACAAGTTTTATGTCAAATTTTAGTACATAATAATAATAATAATAAATCGTCTTTATTGTACTATAAAAAAAGACAGTTACAATTTGTGGTCGAAGTTTAGCTGTAAGCTATTCTTCCACTTAACCCAAACCTAAATTACATTTCCCTATATACTCGTATACAGGGTGGTCCAAATTGTATTCCGGAAACTTCGGCGGCATATTCTGCAGATAAAAATAAGCAAAAAAGTTCGTATAAATGTATGTCCTAAAATGCTTAGTTTCAGAGATACAGAGTGTAAAGTTTCCTTTTTATTTCGATTTTTTCCAAATAATTTCTGAAGTAACGTCAATATTTGGATAAAAATTGGTGTCTGGGAGTTTTTTGATACGAGAAATTTGATTTTGATGTCAATATGACTCCTAATAGTAGGGGACGCCCCCTACATGTATTTTTACTGTTTTGAAGAGTAATAACTTTTCGTCCGTACCTGTATAAAACTGCTGAGTGAAAAACTATACATTTCCGTGACTTTTTACGTAAAAAATATCTCTTTGTAAAAATCATAACGAGCAACCGTTCTCAAGATATTTAGAATGGAAATAGTCAATACATGTTGACAAAACATAAACACGTTGAGTAGATGAGTTATTTGACTGAAATAATAAATTTGGGAAATTTTTATTTTTTTCTTAAAATTAATCATAAACTTTCTGCGAAAAATGATGATAAAACAGTTTCTGTTGAACATTTGACACAAAAACATTTCAAATTTATGATTTCAGTCTAATAACTATTTAGTCAACATGTTTAATTTATGTCAATGATGACAGGCATTGATAATTTTGAATCCAAATATCTCGAGAACCATTACTTGTAGCGATTTTTACCAAGAGATCTTTTTTACGTAAAAAAGGCCTTAAATGTAGATTTTTTTACTTAGTAGTTTTATACAGGTACGGACGAAAATTTATTACTCTTCAAACCAGTTAAAAAATACACAGGTAGCGCCCTCTACACGTAGGAGTCATATTGACACCAAAATCAAATTTCTCATGCCAAAAAACTCCCAGATACCAATTTTCACTCAAATATTGACTTTACTTCAAAAATTATTTGGAAAAAATTTAAATAAAAATGAAACTTCTACACCCTGTATCTCCGAAACAAAGCATTTTAGGACATATATTTATAGAAACTTTTTTACTTATTTTTATCTGCAGAATATGCTGCCAAAGTTTCCGGAATACAGTTCGGACCACCCTGTATATTCAATATACTTACAAAAAAAAAAACATAAATAAATAATCCAACATGATGTTAAGAAAAAATAAAATAACATGATTAACAATATGCATAGATACAATATACGATATACAATATGCATAACAGATAACAATATGCATAGATTATACTATAAGTTTATTATGTATCGGAGGTTAGGAAATATCGTTTTATATTGTACTAGCGTGTACCAGCGACTTCGTTCGGGTCGAATTAATAATTTGTAATGGTGATTATAAAGCAAAGCTAGAATTTCCATTAACATACAAACTGGATAACATTTTCTCACATTTATGTCAGCATGAGAAAAAACAATATGGCGATATTATTATATAACTTGGTAATATTTGAGGGGTAGTTTCATCTCGTTGAAATTTGACTTTCGAAAAATCCGTTTGCCAAAAATAAGCTTTTTACGTCAAGCAGTTTAAGCAGAATCGTGGTTAAGAAATTACCCAACTTTTTGGAACACCCTGTATGATTTTTTAAAAAATTTCAAAATATGTAAAAACCAAATAAATTATGCTTGTCCAAGCGTTTTCCCTAAAGACTAACCGTTTTTTAAATAACAAATATTGTAATATTTGAGGGGCGTTTTCACCCTCTTGGAATTTGAGATTCGAGAAACTCCTCCTTATCGAACCTCTCCACCCCACAGTCAATCCGTTTGCCAAAAATTAGCTTTAAACGTCAAGCAGTTTAAGCAGAACCGTGATTACTCATATTTTATGAAACACCCTGTATAAATTTATAAAAAATCTTAAAATATGTAAAACAACAAAATAAAATATACGTGTTTAAGAGTTTTTCCGAAAAACTCACCGGTTTTTAAATAAAAAATATTTTAATATTTGAGGAATAGTTTCACCCCCTTAGAATTCGAGTTTCGAAAAATCCCTTCTTATCGAACCTCTACACCCTAAAGTCAATCGGTTTTCCAAAAATCAGCTTTTTACGTCAAGCGTTTTAAGCAGGATCGTAATTAATCAATGACCAGATTTTTCGAAACACCCTGTATACATTTTTAAAAAATCTTAAAATATGTAAAAAACAAAATAAAATATACGTGTTTAAGCGTTTTTTTCGGAAACTTTATCGTTTTTTAAATAAAAAAGATTGTAATATTTGAGGGGTGGTTTCACCCTCTTGGAACTGGAATTTTGAAAAATCCCTTCTTATCGAACCTCTACACCCTAGAATCAACCAGTATGCCATAATTGAGCTTCTTACGTTGAGTGGTTTGAGCAGGATCGTGATTAATCAGTATGTCAGTCAATTAAGGATTTTATATATTAGTATAGATTTGAAGGATGTCAGTGACAGATTTTTAAATTTTTCAGGTAATGCGTTATATAGTTTTACGGCATTGTATGTAAACGAGCGACTAAAAAGCGATGTTTTATGCTTTGGCATTGTAAATTTGTTTAAAAATCTTATAGGCCTTTGTACTATTAAACTTCGCGATATTAACTTCATTACGGTGAATAAAAGTAGTTCAAACGGTGAATAAAAATAGTGAAGAGAAACTGAGAATTTTTGTTAATTTTTAACCATTTTAATTGTTTGATATATGGCGAAATGTGGCTATCTATTTACCTGGTAGACAAAACGACAACAAGAGTTTTGAATTTTCTGTAATTTATTTGCACTTAGTTTATCAAGGCTGATAAAAAATATTACAGTACGATAACTGGGACAGTACAAGAGATTCTACGAGTTTTTTCCTTATTTTATATGTCAATATATATCTGTTATACCGTTTAAATAAAGACGCCTCCTTGCATAGCATTTTTTTGTTAGATTATTGACGTGATTATAGAATCTTAAATTGACATCCAATTCCACACCAAGACTTTTTGCGGAAGAGCAAAAATTCAACGCTTCGCCATCCAACTGCAGAAAAACATTGGACCCTACAAACTCTCTTACCTTTTTTGGGGCAAAAAGTATTACCTTTGTTTTCTCAGGATTAATTTTCAGAGAGTGACTTGTAGCCTATTCTGATATTCAGCTTAGGTCATTTTTAATGTTGGCCGATGCTACTTGAGCCTCATTCAAATCAAAAGAATAATACATTTGTGCATCATCAGCATATAAAGCTAATTTAGAGTTTCTAATAACTGTTGGCATGTCCGATGTATACAGTAAAAATAACAAAGGTCCGAGAACTGAGCCTTGAGGTACACCAGATATTATTTCGGATAAAGGAGAATGTTTTCCATTTAAGGTGACTTTCTGATATCTGTTTCTTACATAATGCCCCAAAAAAGAAGAGTATCTGCAGATATGCCATAGTAATTACACTGTGCAAGTAATAGGTCATGGTTAATTGGACAAATGCCTTTGAAAAATCTAAAAGACTAAGAATAGTTGCCCTGTCGCCATCTAAAGCTCTAAAAATATCATCACTTAATCCCAAAAGTGTTCATAGTGCTACTCGCACAACAGAGTTCGGGAAAGTTTAAAAAGACGGGATCCAGTAATCTCTGTGAACTGTCAGTTATTCTAATTGGTTCATTAATTAATTGAGACATATTATAACTAGACAAACACTGACTAATTTTATTATTAGCATTTAAAATATTTACGTTAAAATCATCCCAAAAGTCGTGCTGAATCCTTTTCGAAACCCAGATTGACATTCAGGAATAATATTATGATTCTCAAGGTATTGATTAAGTTGTTTGTGTACTATTTTTTCGAAAACTTTTGAACAAACTGGCAACAAACTGATCGGCCGAAGATCAGAATACGGAACTGCGTTATTTATTTTAGGAATTGACTGCTTCTTTCCACAGTTTTGGAAAATACTTATTTTCAATGCATTTCTTGATTATATGTATTAAAAATGAACCAATTTTGAAAAAACTAAGCTTAATCATTTTAAGAGATACTCCATCTATACAACTTGAGTTGGATTTAATAGTGTTAAGTACGTTCCATATTTCCTTTTCATCGGTTAATTGAAGAGTGAAATTTAAATTGTTTTTATATTTATTGTTAGTGTAGTAATCAATTCTGCTTTGACAATCGGCACTATTTTTTGTAAAAACTGATAAATAGTAATCATTTATTTTGGTTGGGTCATTAAGCTGGTCCGGAATGCTATGATTGTTTTTGGATTTAACACCTATTGTTTTTAGATTTTTAAAAAAATTTGAAATATTGTTTTGCTGAAAGGAAAATGTGAGATAGGTTTTTTTCTCTTGACGAAGACAGGATAATGCAAAATTTCAAAGACTCTTGTAGTAATCCCAGTTAACTCTATTTGGGTTGGATTTTAATTTTAACAAAGCACGATCTCTCTCTTCAAAAATATTTTTAAGATTTTGTGTAATCCAGGGAGCTGGTGGCTTACTCACTCGTGCAGTTCTAAGTGGAGCATGTCTGGTAAAGAGATACAAAAGAGTATGATTAAAATAATCTATTTTTTTTATCAATATCACTTATTTTCAAAATATTTTGTAAGTCTATTAACGAAAGTTCACTTTCAAAATTCTCAGAACTGAAGTTTCTAAAATCTCTAAAAGTTATAAA